GACTGAAGCAGAGACTGAAGCAGAGACTGAAGCAGAGACTGAAGCAGAGACTGAGGCAGAGACTGAAGCAGAGACTGAAGCAGAGACTGAAGCAGAGACTGAGGCAGAGACTGAAGCAGAGACTGAAGCAGAGACTGAAGCAGAGACTGAAGCAGAGACTGAGGCAGAGACTGAAGCAGAGACTGAGGCAGAGACTGAGGCAGAGACTGAGGCAGAGACTGAGGCAGAGACTGAAGCAGAGACTGAGGCAGAGACTGAAGCAGAGACTGAAGCAGAGACTGAAGCAGAGACTGAGGCAGAGACTGAAGCAGAGACTGAAGCAGAGACTGAAGCAGAGACTGAAGCAGAGACTGAGACTGAAGCAGAGACTGAGGCTTAGACAGAAGTGAAGGACCCAGAGGGGACAGTGACAGTTTGGGGCTGAATGAGTGGGAGTTACAGCGACTGCAGGTTAATGGGATGAGATTGGGGGAAGACAGAGGGGGAGGAGGGGGATGCTATGGTTCCTGTAGAACAGTCCCTCTAGTGGTGGAAGTGGGACATGACACGCTCTCTGGTCCCTCTCTGGTCTCTCACTCTGGCCTCTCTCTCTGGTCCCTCTCTGGTCTCTCACTCTGGCCTCTCTCTCTGGCCTCTCTCTCTGGTCCCTCTCTGGTCTCTCACTCTGGCCTCTCTCTCTGGCCTCTCTCTCTGGCCTCTCACTCTGGCATCTCACTCTGGCCTCTCTCTCTGGCGTCTCTCTCTGGCCTCTCTCTCTGGCCTCTCTCTCTGGCCTCTCTCTCTGGCCTCTCTCTCTGGCCTCTCTCTCTGGCCTCTCTCTCTGGCCTCTCTCTCTGGCCTCTCTCTCTGGCCTCTCTCTCTGGCCTCTCTCTCTGGCCTCTCTCTCTGGCCTCTCTCTCTGGCCTCTCTCTCTGGGCTCTCTCTCTGGCCTCTCTCTCTGGCCTCTCTCTCTGGCCTCTCTCTCTGGCCTCTCTCTCTGGCCTCTCTCTCTGGCCTCTCTCTCTGGCGTCTCTCTCTGGCCTCTCTCTCTGGCGTCTCTCTCTGGCCTCTCTCTCTGGCGTCTCTCTCTGGCCTCTCTCTCTGGCCTCTCTCTCTGGCCTCTCTCTCTGGCCTCTCTCTCTGGCCTCTCTCTCTGGCGTCTCTCTCTGGCGTCTCTCTCTGGCGTCTCTCTCTGGCGTCTCTCTCTGGTCTCTCTCTCTGGCCTCTCTCTCTGGCCTCTCACTCTGGCCTCTCACTCTGGCGTCTCACTCTGGCGTCTCACTCTGGCGTCTCACTCTGGCGTCTCACTCTGGCGTCTCACTCTGGTCTCACTCTGGTCTCACTCTGGTCTCACTCTGGTCTCACTCTGGTCTCACTCTGGTCTCACTCTGGTCTCACTCTGGTCTCACTCTGGTCTATAAATACCTCCTCTTGAGCTCCACATAAAAGAGGTTGTCTTGTTTCTTTCCAGTTTTGAGCAGCCTTTGATTCTGAGACAAAGACGACACCTCCTCAAAGAACCACCACAAAAAGCAGACCAGAGAGAGAGGAGAGACCAGAGCGAGAGAGGAGAGACCAGAGAGAGAGAGGAGAGAGAGAGGAGAGACCAGAAAGAGAGAGGAGAGAGAGAGGAGAGACCAGAGAGAGAGAGGAGAGACCAGAGAGAGAGAGGAGAGACCAGAAAGAGAGACCAGAGAGAGAGGAGAGACCAGAGAGAGAGGAGAGACCAGAGAGGAGAGAGCAGAGAGAGACCAGAGACCAGAGAGAGACCAGAGACCAGAAAGACCAGAGAGAGAGGAGAGACCAGAAAGGAGAGACCAGAAAGAGAGGAGAGACCAGAGAGAGGAGAAACCAGAGAGGAAGAGAGAGCAGAGAGGAGAGACCAGAGAGAGAGTAGAGACCAGAGAGAGAGTAGAGAGAGAGAGAGAGGAGAGACCAGAGAGAGAGTAGAGAGAGAGAGAGAGAGGAGAGAGGAGGAGAGACCAGAGAGAGAGTAGAGAGAGAGAGAGAGAGCAGAGAGAGAGGAGAGAGCAGGGGAGGACCTTGAACAGGTTCCAGCAGACGCACAGTGACTTTCCCTGGTATCAGTTCAAACACAGATATTGAAGCCACTAAAGAGCAGCATATTCCTCTCACTAAGAAGGTCCTGGGTTCGAATCCCAGTCAGAACAGGGCCTCCTGGCACAAAGTCAGTCAACAGGGCATTTGTTCACAGGATCACACATTACTTTCCCTTACAGCTGATCAAGAGGAGGAGCTGCTGTAGTTGATGGTGATGAAGAGGAGGAAGGAGGAAGAGGAGGAGGAGGAGGAGGAAGAGGAGGAGGAGGAGCAGCAGATTGACTTTGTGCTTCGCCTTTCCTCTGCATATTGCAAACTCCACATAATTTATCACAGACTGCAGCAGCCCTGGACTCTCCCTTTCTCCTACTCTCTCCTCACCCCTCCCCTCTCTCTCCTCTACTCTCTCTCTTATCTCTCCTTTCTCTTCCTCTCTCCTATCCTTTACTCTCTCTCTCCTTTCTCTACTCTCTCCTCACCCCTCCCCTCTCTCTCTTATCTCTCCTTTCTCTTCCTCTCTCCTCTCTCCTATCCTTTACTCTCTCTCCTTTCTCTACTCTCTCCTTTCTCTTCTCTCCCATCTCTCTCCTCTCCTCTCTCTCCCCTCTCCTCTCTCTCTCCCCCTCCCCTCTCTCTCCCATCTCTCTCCACTCCCCCCTCTCTCCTCTCCCTCCCCTCCCCTCTCTCTCTCTCTCTCTCTCCCCCCTCCCCCCTCTCTCTCTTCTCTCCCATCTCTCTCCTCTCCCATCTCTCTCCCCTCCCCCTCTCTCTCCCCTCCCCTCTCTCTCCCATCTCTCTCCACTCCCCTCTCTCCTCTCCTCTCCCCTCCCCTCCCCTCTCTCTCTCCTCTCTCTCCCCCCTCCCCCCTCTCTCTCTTCTCTCCCATCTCTCTCCTCTCCCATCTCTCTCTCCCCTCTTCTGCTTCAGCTTCACTAAGACTGGACCTCTAACCCCCAGACACTGTCTATTCTCTTCTCCACACGCCTCCAAACAGCAGCAACATTCCCCCTTGTAATTCCAATGGAAATAACGCCATCTAGCGGCTGTACTCGCTCATCACAGTCTGATAAGGTGAGATAGACACAGCACAGCCTGAAGTCAGATCACATTGAAATAACCCCAAACACGTGACAGCTGGACTAGGGACATAGATATGGATGTTAGTGATAGTTGATAAAAGGCTTGGCTTACCTGTCCATGTCTTCTGCTCCGGGATGATGTAGTATTTATTCCCTAAATGATCAGTGCCCACGTGTTCTCGTACCACTCCAAAGGCCCTTCGGAACACACCTGCCAGCCTGCTCATAGTTACAATAACATCTGTATCACCGGTTACTCGCTTTTAGAAGGACATTTGCTTCACATTCTGCAACGCAATCTCCTGTTTGTGTGTGATTGCAGTAAGCTGTTCTCTGATTGGACCGGGCTAGTAGAAGTAGCCAATGAGAGAGAACGGAGGTTTCATAATACGGAAGTGGCGCGTCTTTTTTACATTTCACTTGTACTTTTTTACTGTTAAACATTTATATACGTGTTATTAATCCAATTTACACACATATACGTCACAGTAGATGATTAATATGCTTAATTATTAAAATGATCTGTTTGAGAGGCACAACTTCCTTCGTCTCGGAGTCCGATTATTTTCTGCAACACATTTCTCTCTTGTTAACAGTTATATAGCTTTAACGGCAAATATGTATACTTAAAACATATTAATTGTAAAAATCATGTTATAATTATAATTTTAGAATCATAAATAGGATTATTACTGGTTATTTTTTAAGATTTAAAAAATGAGCAGTCTAAATGTGGGGAAAAATACACGTGAGGCGTTCCAATATGGCGTCTTTTGTGTTGTTGTGATGTAGCTTTGATCAGAAATGAGCACACAACTGCCCAAATATTGTAGATTTTTGTGTGTAATTACGCTTTAGTATGATGTCGTGGAATATTACACGTGTGTTTTCTGTTTTGCTTCAATACAATATTTTAATTTCCTCGAAACGGACGTGTTTGCTAGCCTTATGTCAGCTCACAGATGTTAGCTCTTTAGTTTAATTCATAGACTGTAAATATTAATCATATGTTTAAATTTTGGTGTTTTTGAGGCTGAACGATGCTGGGGTTTCTGTCATCGCGGCAGACCGGCCTCGATGATCCTCTGAGACTGAGGCGAGCGGAGTCCACAAGGAGGTAACAGCTGGAAGTAAAGCATCACTGTAGAATAAAGGTTTATCGGAGGATTTTCCCACATTTTAGAAGAACCGCCCTCTCCACTTTTTGAAAAATAAACTCTCTGGTCTTATTTGACGTGCACGTATCACCAGAATGATTGACAATTAGGAGGACCAATAGCCTTGATGATCCACCCGGAAGTAGAAAATCCTACTATATACCTCATACTGCATGTTTAATTCATTTGTGCACTAGTAACAAATATGCAAGGATAAATAACCACTGTTCCCAATATCAGGCTCGTTCACACCAATATATCACCACAGTTTCCCAGGGGTAGCTCTTTAACGTCCTAGGAAGGTAGCTCTCTGGGTGAAAACGTTTTGAGATACCTGCTCTAGAATAATTAATGTTTAGACGCATTGAACCTTCTACAGTTGAAACATAAACATGACGTAACTCTCACAAATGAAATAAACAGAAGATAGATACTGATTCTGTGTCATCCGTCAGTTATTGTGGATAGTGCTGTTACCAGACCTCTCCAGCAGGGGGCTCTCTATGCAGCGTCACTGTCTGTGTTTTGTATTTCTATTGATATTGATTTAATAGTTATTCTAAACCAGCATTAACTTTTATATGAAACTTTTATTAAAAACCACATACATTATAGACTTTCAAGGACACCGTAGATACTTCACTTTGCAATGTTAAATGATTCACACTTTGTAAAGGTTTTAATCTTCAGTTGTGTGTTCTTCCAGGGTCCTGAGTTTGCAGCTGAATCCGGACCGAGACGTGGACAGAATCCACGGGAACGGCGTCAACAGCCTCGACATCGATGTGGTGGAAGGACGATAGTGAGTCTGTAGGAGACCCAGGACTGAGGCTGTAGACCCAGGACTGAGGCTGTAGACCCAGGACTGAGGCTGTAGACCCAGGACTGAGACTGTAGACCCAGGACTGAGGCTGTAGACCCAGGACTGAGGCTGTAGACCCAGGACTGAGGCTGTAGACCCAGGACTGAGGCTGTAGACCCAGGACTGAGACTGTAGACCCGAGGCTGTAGACCCAGGACTGAGACTGTAGACAAAGGACTGAGGCTGAGACCTGTGTGTGCAGTATGTTGTCTGGAGGAGCTGATGGAGTCATCGTCGTCTACGACCTGGAGAACTTCACTGGGAAACCTCAGTACACCTGCAAAGCCATCTGCACCGTGGGCAGGTAACACAGAGACCAGAGAGAGACCAGAGAGAGACCAGAGAGAGACCAGAGAGAGACCAGAGAGAGACCAGAGAGAGACCAGAGAGAGACCAGAGAGAGACCAGGGAGAGACCAGAGAGAGACCAGAGAGAGACCAGGGAGAGACCAGGGAGAGACCAGAGAGAGACCAGAGAGACAGAGACCAGGGAGATTGAGACCAGAGAAAGACCAGAAACACCCATGGACCAATAGGAGCCATTGGTTCCATACATGTCTTAGATCAATGTCCTGCTTCGGAAAAGAACAAAACCTCTTGAGTAACAGAAACAGTCTCTGGTCAAACCGGCTCTGAAAGGCTCTGAAAGGCTCTGAAAGGCTCTGAAAGGTAAAGGTCCCCCCTGGAGCTCTCCAAGCCCGGGCCTCGACCTGCTATAAATCTGCTTATCTGGCGTGCAGCATCTGCCTCTGTCCTCTGGATCCTCTGCCGGAGACTTATGTCTGTGCCCCGGTGAGAATGTGACCGAGCTCGTCTTTCTGAGAAATCTGAAAAATGGGGGAGGGGGCAGAGAAAGGAGAGAGGGGAGGGGAGAGGAGAGAGGGCAGAAGAGAGGAGTGGAGGGAAGAGATGAGAGTAGAGAGGGGAGGGGAGTGGAGGGTAGAGAGGAGAGGGCAGAAAGAAGAGAGAGTAGAGGAAAGACAGGAACAAGAGGAGAGAGAGATGAGGAGAGAGGTGAGGAGAGGAGGGGAGAGAAGACAGAGAGGGGGGGAGAGGGGCGATAAGAAAAAAAGGAGAGGGGGGGAGAGGAAGAGATAGTGAGGAGAGGAAAGGGTGGAGAGGAGAGAAAAGACTGAGTTACACATTTGTGTCAGATGATATTAGCATGGATGGATCTAAACACTACCCCAGGTCTGTGACTGATGAGTGTGTTTCCTTTTCTGCAGTTACATACTGTGGCCACTATGGGGCATCCACACAGTCCAGTCCTAATAGCATTGTCCATCTGTATACAGTCTGTGTTAGCATTAGCATCTGTATACAGTCTGTGTTAGCATTAGCATCTGTATACAGTCTGTGTTAGCATTAGCATCTGTATACAGTCTGTGTTAGCATTAGCATCTGTATACAGTCTGTGTTAGCATTAGCATCTGTATACAGTCTGTGTGAGCATTAGCATCTGTATACAGTCTGTGTTAGCATTAGCATCTGTATACAGTCTGTGTTAGCATTGTCCATCTGTATACAGTCTGTGTTAGCATTGTCCATCTGTATACAGTCTGTGTTAGCATTAGCATCTGTATACAGTCTTATGTTAGCATGTTCTGGTCTGGCTTGGCTCAGGTCCAACCGTCACGTCCATAAGTTCAGCGTGGAGTCGGTGCAGTGGTATCCGTACGACACCGGGATGTTCGTCTCCAGCTCCTTCGACAAAACCATGAAGATCTGGGACACGGAGACACTCAAGGTGAAGCCAGAGACACACATGGTACTCTTTGTTGTGGTTCAGAAGTTACGTCCCTCAGCTTTAATACAACCATGTGTTTGTTTCTTGAAGCCTGCGGAAGTTTTTCAGTTTGAGACCAACGTTTACAGTCACCACCTGTCGCCCATCGCCCGAAAACACAGCCTCATCGCAGGTTTGAATACTCCTCTCTGGTCTCTCTCTGGTCTCTCTCTGGTCTCTCTGGTCTCTCTCTGGTCTCTCTCTGGTCTCTCTCTCTGGTCTCTCTCTCTGGTCTCTCTCTGGTCTCTCTGGTCTCTCTCTGGTCTCTCTCTCTGGTCTCTCTCTGGTCTCTCTCTCTGGTCTCTCTCTCTGGTCTCTCTCTCTGGTCTCTCTCTGGTCTCTCTGGTCTCTCTCTGGTGTCTCTCTCTGGTCTCTCTCTGGCCTCTCTGGTCTCTCTCTGGTCTCTCTCTGGTCTCTCTCTCTGGTCTCTCTCTGGTCTCTCTCTCTGGTCTCTCTCTGGTCTCTTTCTGGTCTCTCTCTCTGCTCCCTCTGGTCTCTCTCTAGGCTCTATCTGCTCTCTCTCCGTGCTCTCTGGTTTCTCTCTGGTCTCTCTCTAGTCTCTCTCTGGTCTCTCTCTGGTCTCTCTCTCTGGCCTCTCTCTGGTCTCTCTCTGGTCTCTCTCTAGGCTCTATCTGCTCTCTCTCCGTGCTCTCTGGTTTCTCTCTGGTCTCTCTCTAGTCTCTCTCTGGTCTCTCTCTGGTCTCTCTCTCTGGCCTCTCTCTGGTCTCTCTCTGGTCTCTCTCTGGTCTCTCTGGTCTCTCTCTGGTCTCTCTCTCTGGTCTCTCTCTCTGGTCTCTCTCTCTGGTCTCTCTCTGGCCTCTCTGGTCTCTCTCTGGTCTCTCTCTGGTCTCTCTGGTCTCTCTCTGGTGTCTCTCTCTGGTCTCTCTCTGGTCTCTCTCTGGCCTCTCTGGTCTCTCTCTGGTCTCTCTCTGGTCTCTCTCTCTGGTCTCTCTCTGGTCTCTCTCTCTGGTCTCTCTCTCTGGTCTCTCACCACAGAGGAGCAGTCTGTGGGGGAGAGAGAGGAGAGAGGAGAGAAGAAAGAGGAGAGAGAATCCCACAATAATTCTCTATAGCATGTTAGCATTAAAGCATGTTAGCATTATAGCATGTTAGCATTATAGCATGTTAGCATTATAGCATGTTAGCATTATAGCATGTTAGCATTATAGCATGTTAGCATTATAGCATGTTAGCATTATAGCATGTTAGCATTATAGCATGTTAGCATTATAGCATGTTAGCAGCTAGCGTCAGCCCTGTCCATGTGTAAACAGTCTGACACAGAACATGGCAGTAGCAGTGATAAGGTGGTGTACCGGACAGGTCCAGGCAGGTGGGGGCGCCCTCCTCCCCCCCCCTCCCAGACTCGGTGAGGGTGCTGAACAGGGTCCCGATCGGGTCCAGGGGGTGGCCCACCCAGCCCTCCATGTTGGTGATGGAGGTGTGGCCTTTCTGCAGCAGCTCTGAGGGAAACACAACCACAGGTTAGAGACCAGAGAATACACTGGGACTACAACAACACATGAGGTCGCTCTGGTCTCTCCCTCTGGTCTCTCCCTCTGGTCTCTCCCTCTGGTCTCTCCCTCTGGTCTCTCCCTCTGGTCTCTCCCTCTGGTCTCTCCCTCTGGTCTCTCCCTCGGGTCTCTCCCTCGGGTCTCTCGCTCGGGTCTCTCGCTCGGGTCTCTCGCTCGGGTCTCTCGCTCGGGTCTCTCGCTCGGGTCTCTCGCTCGGGTCTCTCGCTCTGGTCTCTCTCTCGGGTTCCTCTCTGGTCTCCCTCTGGTCTCCTTCTGGTCTCCCTCTGGTCCCCCTCTGGTCTCACCTTTCTTGTGTCTCCTGAACTGGTCCAGTTGTCTCTGCTGGTGTCTCCTGAGCGTGTTGACGATGGCGATGGCGAGACGCAGCGCCTCCCGAGGGTAACCATGGGAACGGAGGGCATCCACACGGGCACAGGCTGTGGGCACGTGTTCTGTAGACACACACACACACACACACACACACACATCACAAAAATACACATAAATTACAGGTGAAGAGAGACCAGAGAGAGAGACCAGAGAGAGACCAGAGAGAGACCAGAGAGAGACCAGAGAGAAAGAGAGATCTGAGAGAGAGAGAGACCAGAGAGAGACCTGAGAGAGACCAGAGAGAGAGACCTGAGAGAGAGACCAGAGAGAGACAAGAGAGAGACCAAAGAGAGACCAGAGAGAGATCAGAGAGAGACCAGAGAGAGACCAACAAGGGAGAGACCAGAGAGAGGGACCAGAGAGAGACCTCACCGTGCCACAGGGGCCAGCCGCGGGCGTCGAACAGCGCCCCCTCCTGGTTGTCGTGGTAACAGTAGTTTGCGTACAGGTCACTGGCCATGATGTGCTGCAGGTGTCGGTCGCTCCAGTGCAGGTCACAGGCCTCTATGGCTCTGGTGAAGACCGTCCTGTGAGAGCGGGACTCTGAGGGGGAGAGAAGGGGGAGAGAAGGGGGGAGGGGGGGGTGAAGAGGGGGAGAGAGGGAAGAGGGGAGAGGAGAGAGTGGGAGAGAAAAACAGCATACTCCTTTACTCGAAGGCCCAGTCCCCACACTGCCCCCTACAGTACGACGTGTGCATTAGTTTGAAGTGCACAGGTTTGAGGCCGGTTACAGCAAAAAGATGGAATAGGGACAGTGCAGGTGACGTCAGGCCACGAGGCTCGAACCCACAACCTTCTGGCTCAAAGGCCAAAGCTCTACACACTGAGCTACTGTCGCCCTGACATGTACTGGTTATTGGTAATTATAGATATCTGTATAATTTAAGTTAAATGTGGGTAACTAACTATCTGGTCAGTTTTTATACATCCTAAGATTATTGTACTAAGTGTAAAGTTTAAATTGAATGTTAAATGAACGTTTGGATTAAAAAGTTATTAAATTGTTAAAACACAATGTCTGTAATCCTTCATCAGACGTTTATGCTTCTTTCCAAGTAACAGCAAAACTTATTTGCACACATACTGCATATATATTTCAAAATGTATATTTAAATGCATTTTCCTGACATTTTGGTGTGTACCGCAAAGCATTATGGGCAATATCCTTCGCCAGAGATAGATAGATGCAGATCCATAGATGCAGGCGCAAAGGGGGCGGGGCCAAAGACCTCCCTGGAGGATTGGGACCGGACCCTACGCACCCATCATCGGGCACGCACACATGAGGGGCGCCAGGTGGAAGTGCGAGTGTTGGGACGGAGCCTAAATCATTTTATTTGACACACATGGTTTGCTCATGGTTTACATATGGTTTGCTCTTGTTTTACAAAGGGACTATGGACCAATGGCTGCTTTCTCTTCGCTCCCTCACCTTGGTGGCCGTGTCCGCCCTGGGGCAGGCTGTGGCTGAGGTTGGGTGTGAGCTCGTTGCCGTGGTTACCGTCCTCCCAGGGACACACATCCACACAGTTCCATCTGCGCAGCTGTCGAAGCCACATGGTTTTCTGTTCTGGTTTACAGTGAGGGTTCAGGACTATACACATCCACAGGGCACCTGGAGAGAGACCAGAGTGAGACCAGAGTGAGACCAGAGTGAGACCAGAGGGAGACCAGAGGGAGACCAGAGGGAGACCAGAGTGAGACCAGAGTGAGACCAGAGAGAGACCAGAGAGAGACCAGAGTGAGACCAGCGTGAGACCAGAGAGAGACCAGAGAGAGACCAGAGAGAGACCAGAGAGAGACCAGAGAGAGACCAGAGAGTGACCAGAGAGAGACCAGAGAGTGACCAGAGAGCTACCAGAGAGAGACCAGAGAGAGACCAGAGAGAGACCAGGAAGAGGGGGAGGGAGAGAGGGAGGGGGGGCATCAAAAATACATGGTGTCTATGGCCGTCGCCCTGGGACCAGCTGTGTGTTTGGACCAGAAACCATGTCCTACTTCACTACAGCCTCTGAGCCGGAATGCATTTAAATGTGACTATCTGACTGTGAGCTGAGAGCCGATTGGCCGAGAGAGGGGGTCCTCTCTTTGTCACTTTTTCTCTCTGGTCTCTCTCTGGTCCCTCTGGTCTCTCTCTGGTCTCTCTGGTCTCCCTCTGGTCTCCCTCTGGTCTCTCTCTGGTCTCTCTCTGGTCTCTCTCTGGTCTCTCTCTGGTCTCTCTCTGGTCTCTCTCTGGTCTCTCTCTGGTCTCTCTCTGGTCTCTCTCTGGTCTCTCTCTGGTCTCTCTCTGGTCTCTCTCTCACCTAGCTCGTCCCATAGTTGCCGGTACTTGTCCGTCATGGTGGTCCCCTGTTGTCGCCATAGCAACAGACGAGGGTCCGACATGAACTGGTCCGTGATCAGCGTCAGCATCCGGGCTCCGTTAGAGTCTCTCATCCTCAGCATCTCCCTCACCTGCAGAGACCAGGAAGACCAGGAAGACCAGGTGAGGAGAGGGACCAGGAGAGACCAGGAGAGGTGATAGGGAGCAGGAGAGACAGGAGCACCAGGTGAGGAGAGAGGGACCGGGAGAACCAGGTGAGGATGGAGGGACCAGAAGAGGCCAGGTGAGGAGAGAGGGACCAGGAGAAACCAGGAGAAGAGAGAGGGACCAGGAGAGACAGGAAAGGAGAGAGGGACCAGGAGAGACCAGGAGAGACCAGGAGAGACCAGGAGAAGAGAGAGGGACCAGGAGAGACACGAGAGGTGAGACAGGAGAGGTGAGAGGGACCAGAAGAACCAGGTGAGGAGAGAGGGACCAGGAGAGACAGGAGAGGAGAGAGGGACCAGGAGAGACCAGGAGAGACAGGAGAGGAGAGAGGGGCCAGGAAAACCAGGTGAGGAGAGGGACCAGGAAAGACCAGGAAAGACAGGAGAGGAGAAAGGGACCAGGAAACCAAAAGAGGAGAGATGAACCAGGAGAGACAGGAAAGGGACCAGAAGAACCATAGAAATGAGGGGGACCAGGAGAGTCAGCACAGGGACCAGAAGCAGGAGAGATGGATCAGAAGAGGAGGGGGACCAGGAGAGACAGGAGAACCAGGTGTGTACCTTGCTGAAGAGCAGGTTGAGCTGCTTCCCTGAGCCGTGGTACCCGCCCTGGGACAGGAACAGCTTCACCTGCTCCTGCACCTGCTCCTCGTCCAAGTGCCAACAGTTCTCATCGTCTACACTGGCCCCTGCGGTGGGGTCCGGGGCCCCTGCAGAGACCAGGACGAGACCAGAGGGTAGAGAGAAGCCAGAGAGAGAGACCAGGGCGAGACCAGGGGGCAGAGAGAGAGGCCAGAGAGAGACCAGAGAGAGACCAGAGAGAGACCAGAGAGAGAGACCAGAGAGAGACCAGAGAGAGACCAGAGAGAGAGACCAGAGAGAGACCAGAGAGAGACCAGAGAGAGAGACCAGAGAGAGAGACCAGAGAGAGACCAGAGAGAGAGACCAGAGAGAGAGACCAGAGAGAGAGACCAGAGAGAGACCAGAGAGAGAGACCAGAGAGACAGACCAGAGAGAGACCAGAGAGAGACCAGAGAGAGACCAGAGAGAGAGACCAGAGAGAGACCAGAGAGAGAGACCAGAGAGAGAGACCAGAGAGACAGACCAGAGAGAGAGACCAGAGAGACAGACCAGAGAGAGAGACCAGAGAGAGACACACACAAACAGGGTTAGTACATTTTAATATGAAAACATCAGTATCACAACATTATCTCTGAAGCTCAATATTTATTAAATAAATGCCAAGCGTCTCCACGGCAACGGAAAACCATGTAGTCCTGTTTCGCGGCCAGCAGGGGGCAGCGGCACAAGCCCCAGCAGTAGAACCACTTCCTCAACACCATGCAGCATGCAGTGAAAATGAAAGTGAAACTACAGCTGTGGTTTGGACGAAGGAGGAGGTCGACCCGCCGCCATGTTGTTTACGTTCTGCTGCGTCCACATTTTATTATTATTTTTTTTGGTTTATTTTGTTGGGACAGTACACGTTAATGAACACATCTCTCCGGATTGTAGCCATGAGTTCATTTCCATCCGTCTTCTCACATTCACACTGAACTATTGTACATGCTTTTTAATGTTAGGGGAAACTGGAGTACCCGGAGGAAACCTATGCATGAAACGGGGAGAACATGCAAAATCCACTCAGAAAGGTCCTGTTCCGATCGGGATTCGAACCCAGAACCTTCTTGCTGAGAAGTGAGAAAGCTAACCACTCAGCCACCGTGCCGCCCTTGTAATGACCAGAGAGAGACCATAGAGAGACCAGAGAGAGACCAGAGGGAGGCCAGAGGGAGACCAGAGAGAGAGAAGAGAGAGAGACCAGAGAGAGAGACCAGAGAGAGAGACCAGAGAGAGACCAGAGAGAGAGACCAGAGAGAGACCAGAGGGAGACCAGAGGGAGACCAGAGAGAGAGACCAGAGAGAGAGACCAGAGAGAGACCAGAGAGAGAGACCAAAGAGAGAGACCAGAGAGAGAGACCAGAGAGAGAGACCAGAGAGAGAGACCAGAGAGAGAGACCAAAGAGAGAGACCAGAGAGAGAGACCAGAGAGAGAGACCAGAGAGAGACCAGAGAGAGACCAGAGAGAGACCAGAGAGAGACCAGAGAGAGATACCAGAGATAGATACCAGAGAGAGAGCAGAGATCCTCACCGTGGACCTGGTTGATCTCTGAGTTCTGGGACAGGATCTCGTCGGCAAGTCTCTGGGCCGTGGGCAGGACCTCAGTGTGATGGACCGAGATCAGGTACTGCACAAACTTCTGCAGCTGGTCCCGGCTCATCTGGAACAGGGTCTCTGAGATGGGCAGGTGCAGCTTCACCTGGACACGCAGGTTATTTATATAGCACAGGGCTCAACACACACAGTACATAAGCACAGCCAAACAGAACCTGGATCGGAACACTGTCAGAGAAGAAGACTGTCTCACACTTTCAGGAAGACTGGTCTAGATTATAGCTGCACTAATGTGAAACCAGAGACACGAGAGAGACACAAGAGAGACAAGAGAGAGACGAGAGAGACAAGAGAGACAAGAGAGACAAGAGAGACAAGAGAGACACGAGAGACACGAGAGAGACAAGAGAGACAAGAGAGACACAGAGAGACAAGAGAGACACAAGAGAGAGACAAGAGAGACACAAGAGAGAGACAAGAGAGAGATCAGAGAGAGAGAGAGACCAGAGCGAGCGAGGGACCAGAGAGAGATCAGAGAGAGAGACCAGAGAGAGACCAGAGAGAGACCAGCGAGAGACCAGAGAGAGACCAGAGAGAGACTAGAGAGAGACCAGAGAGAGAGACCAGAGAGAGAAACCAGAGAGAGACCAGAGAGAGAGACCAGAGAGAGACCAGAGAGAGACCAGAGAGAGAGACCAGAGAGAGAGACCAGAGAGAGACCAGAGAGAGAGACCAGAGAGTTGTCAGATACCTGCTCTGGTTTGCGGACGCGGTAGAGCGACAGCGCCACCACGTGGGCGCAGTAGAAAATGTCCTTGTTGCCGCAGGAGCAGGTGACGGCCGTGATCTTACAGCGGTCGAAGCTCACACTGACACTACACACCAGCTCGGGGGAGGAGGGGGAGGCCGGGTCTGTGACGGTGCCACTGAGGTGGAAGCCTGGGGGGGAGAGAGGGGGAGAGAGGAGGTCAGCCATGTTTATTTATATAACACATTTCACCCGGCAATTTCACACAAAATGCTTTAATGTGGGAGGGCGTAAGAGAGGACAGAGGGGAAAGAGAGAGAGAGAGAGAGAGAGAGAGAGAGAGGGAGAGAGGAGAGAGAGACAGAGGAGAGAGGAGAGAGAGACAGGAGAGAGAGAGAGAGAGGAGAGAGGAGAGAGGAGAGAGAGAGAGAGAGAGAGAGAGAGAGAGAGAGGAGAGCGAGAGAGGAGAGAGAGGAGAGAGAGAGGAGAGAGAGACAGAGGGAGAGAGGAGAGAGAGACAGAGGGAGAGAGGAGAGCGAGACACAGGAGAGAGAGAGATCTGTCTTCTCCATGAACTTTACAGTGATTAAATCTGTTCTTTATAAACAACATTTCACTGGAATCTGCAGAGTTGAAGAGTTCAGCTGCAGACAACACAGAGATCAGGACTGGGGCCTTAGTAACTATAACTATAGCAACCATAATAACCATAGAAACCATAACCATAGCAACCATAGTGACCATATAAACCATAACCATAGCAACCATAGTGACCATAGAAACCATAACCATAGCAACCATAGTGACCATAGAAACCATAACCATAGCAACCATAACCATAGTAACGATAGTGACTACAGTAACCATAGTGACTATAGTAACAATAGTGACCATATTGATCATAGAAACCATAGAGATCCTAGTGATCATAGTAACCATAGTAACTTCACTAACCATAGTGACCATAGTAACCATATTAAACATAGTAACAATAATACTCATAGAGACCATGGTGACCATAGTGATCAGATTCAGATTCCTTTATTTGCCATTTGCAGTAAAACCACACTGGAAAAACTGTGCAAGACTACCCCAGTGTGCACCAGACGACACACACCAGAGCTCTTGCCACGGCGCCATCTTTACGGTGCCATGCGACAAAGATGATATGATCGCCATGATCATAGTAACCATTGTAACCATAGCAACCATAGTGATCATAGCGACCACAGTGACTATAGTAACCATACTGGCCGAAGTGACCTTAGTTATCATAGTTATCATAGTAACTATAGCAACCATAGTCACTACAGTAACCATAGTGACTATAGCAACTAAATTTATCATAGCAACCACAGAGATCATTAGGGGTGTGACGATATATCGATTTTTCGATATATCGCGATACTTTCTCCCGCGATTTGATTATCAATATGCATTTGCAAAGTATCGATATCGATTTTGAAAAAAAAAAAAAATCAATACTACTAAGTATCAATACTTAATATATGGCTACATTACGCATCTCCATTCTATTTATCATGGAATAAAGTGTATTTTTTCTTTTATTCACGCCATAAATTGGCATATTGTATATTTCTGACCAATATATCGATAATCCTCATATCGTGATAAAATCGTTATCGTGATATCGTTATCTTTGTATCGTGTACCGTATCGTATCGTGAGGTACCCTTAGGTTCCCACCCCTAGAGATCATAGTGACCATAGTAACCTCATTAAACATAGTAACAATCATACTCATAGAGTCCATAACGACCATAGTGATCATAGTAACCATTGTAACCATAACAACCATAGAGACCATAGCGACCAAAACCTTAGTTACCATAGTGACCATAGTAACCATAGAGCCCATAGTGACCATTTAAGATGCTAATGATATAACAGTGGTAAAAGTGCCTTAATGAACATATTTGTCATTATGGGACACAAAACTCTTTTGTCTCTCTCTCTGGTCTCTTTCTCACTGGTCTCTCTCACTGGCATGTTAATAACATTACTAGTTAATAAAAGTATCATACATTATAATAATATGAATGCATTAATCCCACAGACTCTGTGGGTGACATGTCTCCCATCACAGCACTAACCAGGCCCTGTCCTGCTTAGCTTCAGAGGTCTGATGGGATCTGGCTTTCACCTGTAGGAGGCGCACAGTCACTGTAATAATCATAAAAAATGTAACTGATTCATTTCAAACACTTCGTCTCAGGAGAAGAAAGATCAGAAATATGAATATATACATTATTCATGAGGGGCGTGGCCAAGAAAGGGTGCATGCATTATTCATGAGGAGGCGTTACCAAGCCGAGGGCTCGTGTGGAGAGGGCACACGCCTCCTACTCGTGTTCATCAAAGAGGAAGCACTGCTGTGATCAGACCTGGATCACAGGAGGCGGAGGAGGGGGAAGAGGGGGAGGGGGGGAGAGAGGGGGAGAGAGGGGGAGGGAGGGGGTTACTGAGGGGAGGGGGTGAATACTTGATGTGGTGGAGTGATGGGGGAGAGGTGAGTTAAAAGGAGGTCAAGTCAGAGAAGAACACTAAAACACAACAGTGGAAGAAGCTGGAACAGTTTGTAATAAATGGAAGAAGTAAATGTCTTTTGTTAATGAAGTCATTGATCAACATTTATATTTCATCTACTGGTCCCTCGCTCGCTCTGGTCCCTTGCTCGCGTCGGTCTCTCTTTTGCTCTGGTTTCTCTCTCTCTCTCTCTGGTCCCTCTCTCGGGTCCCTCGCTCTGGTCCCTCGCTCTGGTCCCTCGCTCTGGTCTCTCGCTCGCTCTGGTCTCTCGCTCGCTCTGGTCCCTCGCTCGCTCTGGTCCCTCGCTCGCTCTGGTCTCTCTCTCGCTCTGGTCTCTCTTTTGCTCTGGTCTCTCTCTCTCTCTGGTCCCTCGCTCTGGTCCCTCGCTCTGGTCCCTCGCTCTGGTCTCTCGCTCGCTCTGGTCCCTCGCTCGCTCTGGTCCCTCGCTCGCTCTGGTCCCTCGCTCGCTCTGGTCCCTCGCTGTGGTCTCTCGCTCGCTCTGGTCTCTCTCTCGCTCTGGTCTCTCTTTCTGGTCTCTCTCTCGTCTGGTCTCTCTCTCGCTCTGGTCTCTCTCTCTCTCTCTGGTCTCTCTCGCTCTGGTCTCTCTGGTCTCTCTCGCTCTGGTCTCACATGGTCCCACCGGGCGAGGCTCATGTGGGAACCATTACAGAGGCTTTAAAAGAACCATGGAGGCCATTTTTAGACCTGGTTTGTGTGCGGTTGCCCTGGAAACCCCTCCAGATCGCCCCAGTGATGTCACACTTGGCCCAAAGCGAGTGTTGGTCTGGGTTTAAATATAAACGAGATCCACAGAAGCAGAGACCACCCACATCCTGAAGAGTGTGCGTACGTGTGTGTATGTGTGTGTGTGTGTGTGTGTGTGTGTGTGTGTGTGTGTGTGTGTGTGTGTGTGTGTGTGTGTGTGTGTGTGTGTGTGTGTGTGTGTGTGTGTGTGTGTGTGTGTTTGTGTCTGTCTGTGTGTGTGTGTGTGTGTGTGTGTGTGTGTGTGTGTGTGTGTGTGTGTGTGTGTGTGTGTGTGTGTGTGTGTACAGTGGGGCAAAAAAGTATTTAGTCAGCCTCTGATTGTGCAAGTTCTCCCACTTAAAATAATGACAGAGGTCTGTAATGTTCATCATAGGTTCACTTCAACTGTGAGAGACAGAATGTGAAAACAAAATCCAGGAATTCACATTGTAGGGTTTTTAAAGAATTTATTTGTAAATTATGATCTCTGGCTCTCACAGACCTGTAACTTCTTCTTTAAGAAGCTCTTCTGTCCTCCACTCGTTACCTGTATTAATGGCTCCTGTTTGAACTGGTTATCTGTATAAAAGATTGCCCAAATGTAGCCCTCAACAATATTTCAACCACTGATAATCTCCCTCGATCGCAAGATCTCATCCCGTGGGGTCAAAATGATCATGAGAACGGTGATCAAAAATCCCAGAACCACACGGGGGGACCTGGTGAATGACCTGCAGAGAGCTGGGACCAAAGTAACAAAGGTTACCATCAGTAACACACTACGACGACAGACGTGTCCCCCTGCTGAAGCCAGTGCATGTCCAGGCCCGTCTGAAGTTTGCCAGAGAGCACATGGATGATACAGCAGAGGATTGGTTTCATCTGACCACATGACATTCTCCCAAAGTACAACTGTTTGGTATAAACTCAACTCGTCGTGTTTGGAGGAAGAACACCATACCTACTGTGAAGCATGGGGGTGGAAACGCCATGCTTTGGGGCTGTTTTTCTGCTAAGGGGACAGGACGACTGATCCGTGTTAAGGAAAGAATGAATGGGGCCATGTATTGTGAGATTTTGAGCCAAAACCTCCTTCCATTGAGTTGAATGTGTTATTGACCAAATACTTTTTTTCCACCATAATTTACAAATAAATTCTTTAAAAATCCTACAATGTGAATTCCTGGATTTTTTTTCACATTCTGTCTCTCACAGTTGAAGTGAACCTATGATGAACATTACAGACCTCTGTGGGAGAACTTGCACAATCGGTGGCTGACTAAATACTTTTTTGCCCCACTGTACATGTATGTGTATGTGTATGTGTGTGTGTGTGTGTGTGTACTACATGTGTGTGTATCGGGGCCAGGTAACACGTTCATTCAGATCAATTAATTACACAAAAATAACACGTTCACATTTGTTATGCCTAATTTACAGCATTTCTCGTTGTGGAACCTTCTGATATGACGAGTTTCGGGGGGCCCATTATACTGGAGCACCAACTTTGACAACAACAACAATATTAATAAAGTATTGGTTTAGTACAGCACTTGTCTGGACTCTCTAAAGGCCGTTTCCACAGACAGGACCCGACTCTCCTCTGCCCAGTTTGCTTGAGCCCAGCTGTCAATCACTCTTCAGCGAAAAAACAAAACAAACACGTAGGGCTGGGCGATATGGCTGAAAACTATATCACGATATAAGTCATTCATATCGGTCGATAACGATATATATTGAGTTTTTTTTTTTAACCTAAATAAATATATTTGTGGTGTGGGCTAACCAACCTTAGCAGCCTTGTTTACAGTCACGGGGCGATGAGGCTGGAGGAATATGTTCACTCTGTGTCCCTCGTTGTTAGTCCTGGTTTAATCCTGGTTTTTTATTCCTGGTTTAGCTCCTGGTTTAGCTGTTTGAGGGTCTTGTGTCCCCGTGACCGCTCCGTGCGGCTCTCTGTGCCGCACATGCTTCCCGAGGAAAAAGTTAATCTCTTGCTTTCGCCGAATACATGGTGTCTGTCCACTGCCTCTGCCGCCGCACATGTTATTCCGCGCACGTACGTGCATAACCATTGACACGGCATTGAAACACGAGCTATAGATCCATGGACGCTACGCATGCTGCGGTTGTTGTTGTTTTTGCATTTCCCACAAAGTTTTGCGGTTCCTGCTCGGCTGTTATTGGTCGAGAAGCCTCTGCCTACATCCCCCACAATGCCATGCGCTTATGAGTCGGCTTTACTTCCGGTGTTTTCTTCCTGTTTTTCCTGACGGAGTTAAGTTAAACTATCGAACATTCTATCGACCCCATTCTCTATTGATATCGAACACATGTCTATCGCGATATATATCGTTATCGTTTTATCGCCCAGCCCAACAAACACGTTTCCTCAAGTTTCCTGAAAACTATAAAGACATCGGTACAGAGACCAGAGAGAGGTCTCTGCCTCTCTCTGGTCTCTGCCTCTCTCTGGTCTCTGCCTCTCTCTGGTCTCTGCCTCTCTCTGGTCTCTGCCTCTCTCTGGTCTCTGCCTCTCTCTGGTCTCTGCCTCTCTCTGGTCTCTGCCTCTCTCTGGTATCTCCCTCTCTCTGGTATCTCCCTCTCTCTGGTATCTCCCTCTCTCTGGTTTCTCCCTCTCTCTGGTTTCTCCCTCTCTCTGGTCTCTCCCTCTCTCTGGTCTCTCCTTCTCTCTGGTCTCTCCCTCTCTCTGGTCTCTCCTTCTCTCTGGTCTCTCCTTCTCTCTGGTCTCTCCCTCTCTCTGGTCTCTCCCTCTCTCTGGTCTCTCCCGCTCTCTGGTCTCTCTCTCTCTCTGGTCTCTCCCTCTCTCTGGTCTCTCCTCTCTGGTCCAAAAGTTTTCTTACAGTAGCTTTAAAACCATCGCCCATGTTCCACTTCATGCTAAATGCTAAATGCTAAGTGCTAAATGCTAACGGCTAGATGCTAACAGCTGGAGGAACAGGTCACAGATTTGATTTTCCGACAGCCAGACGCCGACACAAACTTCTATCTCCGTCTTCTCTCGTGTTTTCTCGTTTCTCTAAATTCCCATCTCGAGTGTGCGTGTCAATATGTGGTCCGCGTACAGAGACCTGTGATGAGACAGGAGAAATCTGGGACTACGGAAAGACAGAGGGAGAGAGCAGAGAGAGAGAGAGAGAGACAGAGAGAGAGATCAGAGAGAGACCAGAGAGAGACCAGAGAGAGACCAGAGAGAGACCAGAGAGAGAGACCAGAGAGAGACCAGAGACAAGAGAGAGAGAGAGACCAGAGAGAGAGACCAGAGAGAGAGACCAGAGACAAGAGAGAGAGACCAGAGAGAGAGACCAGAGAGAGAGACCAGAGAGAGAGATCAGAGAGAGACCAGAGAGAGACCAGAGAGAGACCAGAGAGAGACCAGAGAGAGACCAGAGAGAGACCAGAGAGCGAGTCTTTTATAATCAATAAACAAACAGCAAACACACAATATGAAATCACTTACTCACGAACACAGCTCTAGCTCTTCCCTCCTCCCTCCTCCCTCCTCCCTCCTCTCCCCCTTCCTCCCCCCTCCCCTCCCACGACACAGAGCAGCCGCCTTTAGCCCTGAGCTGAACCCAGAGTGCAGTGTGACATCACAGAGCAGACAAGGGAAGGCACGGATCCAGACTGTCTGTCCCAGCGGAGGGGGAGGAGGGGGAGGAAGGGGGAGTGTGGGTATCTGGGCTTTTCCTCTGCTGCAGCTGGACTGAGCTAAAGCTGAGGTACGTAACTTTCATGTCAAAGTCACATGTGTTTTTGGCCTTTGTCACCTCCAGGGAGACCAGAGAGAGACCATAGAGAGAGAGAGACCAGAGAGAGATCATAGAGAGAGAGAGACCAGAGAGAGACCATAGAGAGAGAGAGACCAGAGAGAGATCATAGAGAGAGAGACCAGAGAGAGATCATAGAGAGAGAGAGACCAGAGAGAGATCATAGAGAGAGACCAGAGAGAGATCATAGAGAGAGAGACCAGAGAGAGATCATAGAGAGAGAGAGACCAGAGAGAGACCATAGAGAGAGAGAGACCAGAGAGAGATCATAGAGAGAGAGACCAGAGAGAGATCATAGAGAGAGAGACCAGAGAGAGATCATAGAGAGAGAGACCAGAGAGAGACCATAGAGAGAGAGAGACCAGAGAGAGATCATAGAGAGAGAGAGAGAGAGAGACCATAGAGAGAGACCAGAGAGAGACCATAGAGAGAGAGACCAGAGAGAGACCAGAGAGAGACCATAGAGAGAGAGAGAGACCAGAGAGAGACCAGAGAGAGACCAGAGAGAGAGACCAGAGAGAGAGACCAGAGAGAGACCAGAGAGAGACCAGAGAGAGACCAGAGAGAGAGACCAGAGAGAGACCAGAGAGAGACCAGAGAGAGACCAGAGAGAGAGACCAGAGAGAGAGACCAGAGAGAGACCATAGAGAGAGAGAGACCAGAGAGAGACCAGAGAGAGACCGGAGAGAGAGACCAGAGAGAGAGACCAGAGAGAGACCAGAGAGAGACCAGAGAGAGACCAGAGGGAGCTGAGTTATGTGTGTTGCTTTTACAGTGAAAATGTCGGTCAACTATAAAAAGAAAACTTGCAGAATGTGTGTCATTTAAAGACCGCAGTCAGTCGGTCAGAGGGGGAGGCAGAGGGGGAGAAAGAGGGGGAGGCAGGCAGAGAGGAGAAAGGGGAGCAGAGGGGGGAGGCAGAGAGGGAGAAAGAGGGGGAGGCAGAGAGAGACCAGGGAGAGACCCTTTTGGAAATTACAAGGAAATAGGCTGCTTATGTTCATATTGACCTGTTCCACATTGATGCTGACACGGCTCTGTGACAGGGGGGAGGAGGAGGTGAGGGAGGGGTGCGTTAGAGGAGGTGAGGAGAAGGAGAGGAGGTGAGGGAAGGGGAGAGGAGGTGAGGAGAAGAGAAGTAGTGAGGAGGGGGAGGAGGTGAGGAGAAGGAGAGAGGTGAGGAGGGGGAGAGGAGGTGAGGAGGGGAGAGGAGGTGAGGAGGGGAGAGGAGGTGAGGAGAAGGAGAGGAGGTGAGGAGAAGGAGAGGAGGTGAGGAGAAGGAAGGAGGTGAGGAGGGGAGAGGAGGTGAGGAGGGGGAGAGGAGGTGAGGAGGGGGAGAGGAGGTGAGGAGGAGGAGAGGAGGTGAGGAGAAGGAGAGGAGGTAGGAGAAGGAGAGGAGGTGAGGAGGGGGAGAGGAGGTGAGGAGGGGAGGAGGTGAGGAGGGGGAGGAGGGTGAGGAGGGGGAGGAGGTGAGTGAGCAGAGGGGAGAGGAGGTGAGGAGGGGAAAGTGAGGAGTATAGAGGAGGGGTCTCTCTCAGCTCTAATCTCTGTGGACATGTGTCAGACTGCATCTCTCTGAGTGTGAAGCCGGTGTCAGAATCACAGACCACAGCAACAACAAAGACACAGGCAGCGATACAGTCTCTCTGGTCTCCCTCCCTCTGGTCTCTCTCTCTCTGGTCTCTCTCTCTCCTTGGTCTCTCTCTCTCTGGTCTCTCTCTCGCTCTGGTCTCTCTCTCTCTCTCTGGTCTCTCTCTCTCTGGTCTCTCTCTCATCTCTGTCTCTCGCTCTCTTTCTTGTCTCTCTCTCTCTGGTCTCTCTCTCTCTCTCTCCTCTCTCTGGTCTCTCTCTCTCTGGTCTCTGTCTCTCTCTGGTCTCTCTCTCTCTCTGGTCTCTCTCTGTCTCATCTCTCTGGTCTCTCTCTCTCTCTCTCTCGTCTCTCTCGTCTCTCTCTCTCTCTCTCTGGTCTCTCTCTCTCTGGTCTCCTCTCTACGTCACTCTCTCTCTCTCTGGTCTCTCTCTCTCATCTCTCTCCTTCTCTGGTCTCTCTAGATCACTCTCTGGTCTCTCTCTCCTCTGGTCTCTCTCTCTCTGGTCTCTCTCTCTCTGTCTCTCTCGCTGGTCTCTCTCTGGTCTCTCTCTCGTCTCTGGTCTCTCTCTCTCTGGTCTCTCTCCTCTCTGGTCTCTCTCTGGTCTCTCTGGTCTCTCTCTCTCTCTCTCGGTCACATCTCTCTCTGGTCTCTCTCTCTCTCTGGTCTCACTCCTCTCTGGTCTCTCTCTGTCTCTCTCTCTGGTCTCATCTCTCTCGGTCTCTCTCCAGTCTCTCTCTCTGGTCTCTCCCTCTCTCTGGTCTCCCCTCTCTGGTCTCTCCCTGTCTCTCTCTCTGGTCCTCTCTCTCTGGTCTCTCTCCCGATCTCTCCCTCTCTGGTCTCTCTCTCTGGTCTCTCAATCTGGTCCTCTCTCTCTCTGGTCTCTCTCTCTGGTCACTCTCTCTGTCCTCTCTCTGGTCTCTCTCTGGGATCTAACTCTCTCAGATGCACTCTCTCTGGTCTCCTCTCTGGTCTCTCTCTGGTCTCTCTCCTGGTCTCTCTCTCTCATCCTTCTCTGGTCTCTCTCTGGTCTCTCATGTGGTCCTTCAGGACGATAAGCTCTCAAGAGGGGGGGACCCCTCCCCTGAGAGCGATCAAGAAATACTCAAGAGATAACAGTGGAGAGGTGGCGCCTCTATCGGGTGACCCGTGGTGCTCTCAGCGTGGGTGCAGCGGGGGCTCACTGCTGTGTCCCCTCTGCTCGTCTGGCTCTCTCGCTGCACTCGGCTCCGCCTCTCTGTGGGTCCTCTCTACTCCGGCCTCCCTCTCCGTCCCCTGTCCAGGGCCTCTCGCTGCGTCTCTCCTCATCTGCGTGCCCTCAGCTCTGGCCTCTCTTTCATGGTCGCTCTGTTCGTGTCTCCCTCTGGTCCCCCTCTTCCGGTACTCTCTCCGAGGTCCCCTCTCTCGCGCCTCCCGGCTCGCTGGCTCCCCCATCTCTGGCCTCTCTCCCTGGTCCCTCTCTCTTGCGTCTCCTCTGGCCCCTGCTGCTCGTGCGCCCGGCTCTGCTCTCTCTGTCGCCTTCCTCTCCTGGTCTCGCTCTGGTCCTACTCTCAGGTCCTCCTCCCTGGCTCTCGGGTCTCTGGTCTCTGTCCTCCGGTCTCTCTCTCTGGTCTCTGTCTGGTCTCTCTCCCAGCTATCGATCCCCCCATCGTCTGGTTTTTCGGAAGCAACCCTCTCGCTCGTGCCATCTCTCTCCCCCCCGCCCATACGCGGAGTCTCCCCCAGCTATGGCGCGCTCCTCCCTCTTCCCCTCGCCCTTGGCGCGCTCCCCGTTGCCTCCCTTGTCCTTCTTTGCTTTCCCTGCTTCTCTTGCTTCTTCACGCTCTCTTCTAGCCACCAGCTTCGCTTCCCCTCCAGCCTCTCTCGCGGGTTGCTACCCTCGCGCTGTCCCCCCCACTTCCCTCAAAGTGCTGCTCTCCCACTGCTCTCTCTCCTCTGATTGCTTTCTCGTCTCGTTGCTTGTGTTTGCTCCCTCTACTGCCTGCGGCCGTTCTCTCGTGCCCCCTCTGCTGTTCTCCCGCCTTCTCGTTGCTACTCCCCCTGCCTAGCCCTGAGCGTTCTCCTCCCCTCGCGTCGCGTCTCCCTCTCGCTTCCTCGTCCCCCGCTCTCGTTCCCCCCCCGCTCTCTCTCCTCTATCCCCTACGCCCACTGTCGCTCTCCCGGGGAAAGATGAGGAGGGAGGGTTGGGGGGTTAGGGTGGTGAGTTAATGGGGGTATGATTGGGGGAATATTGGGAAGAAGGAAGGGGAGTAAGAGAGATGAGAATTAGGGGGGTAGGGTGGGTTTTTAGTAGGGGGAAAGAGATGTGGTAAGAGGGGGGTGGGTGGGGGGGGGGAGAGGTTTTGTATTTAGTGTATGGTGAGTGTATTTGAGGGATATGTATAATGATTGGGGGGAAAGGAGGGGGGAAGAAGTGAAGAGGGGGTGGAGAGGAGGGATGTTGTGGGTTAGGAAGGGTGAGGGGGGGGTAGATAGGGAGGGTGTGGGTGTGTTTTGGGGGAGATGATGTTTGGTATGGGGAGTGTAGTTAAGTGGGGATTTTGGTTTTGTGGGGGGGGGGGGAAAGGTGGTGTGATGGGATGGAGTGATTTGGGTAGGGGATGGGGGAGGGGGGTGGAATAAAGGTTGGGTGGAGGAGGAGTGTAGGGTGGGGGGTGAATTTTGGGTATATGGTAGGGGGGAGGTGGGGGAAATAGTGTGTGTTGTTATTGTTGGGTTATTGAGTTGTGTGGTTGTTTGTGTTTGATGTGTGGGGTGTTTTGTTGTTTGAGGGGGTTGGTTGTAGAGTTGAGGGGTATATGTTGGAATGTTGTTGTATATTGGGGGGGGTGGGGGTTGGAAGGGTATGGGGGTGTTGTGTAGGGGGGTGTAGGGTGAATATGGTAGGTAGAGGGGTTGGGGGAGTGGGGGTTTGTTGGGGATAATGTGTTAGGTTTTATTATTTGATTGGTGTAGGGGTGATAGATATTGGGTATGATGGGGGGGGGGGGGATGGTAGGGAGGGGGTTTTAATAGGGGTTGGAGTATGGGTTTGAGTTAGTTGTGGGGATAAGAGTATATGGTTAGGATTTGGATAGAGGGGAAGAGGGGGAAGGGTGGGGTTGTGATAAGAAGAGTAGATTTAGTGGTAAGGGGGAAGTGAGGGTGGATGGGAAAGATGGGTAATGAGTTGGATTGGGGGGGGAATAGAGAAGGAGAGATGAGTAATGTGAAGGTGGGTTGAGTAAGAGGGGGGTATATTGGGAAATGGGAAGGTTAAGGATGTGGGGGGAAGGGGGTATAAGGGGGGGGGTGGGGATGGGGTTGGTGGGGGAAGGGGTGTGGGGGTTTAGGGGGGTAGGGGGGTGTAAGGTGGGTGTATGGGAGAATGTAAGGGTTGTGTAAAGAAAAGTAGAGTTTGGTAGGGAGGTGAGAGTAGAGTAATGAGATGATTGTAGGGTTAGGGTAAAGTATTAAGTAGAGTAGAGTAGAATAGTAAAGTAGATTATAGTAGAGTAGAGTAGAGTAGAGAGTAGAGGAGGGTTGAGTGTTGAGTAAGGAAGTAGAGTAGAGTCGAGGAGAGTAGAGTAGAGTAGAGTAGAGTAGAGTAGAGATAGAGTTGAGTAGAGTTAGAGTTGGGTAGGGTAAAGTAGAGTAAAGTAGATGAGAGAGTAAGTTGAGTAGAGAGGATAGTAAAGTAAAGTTGAGGAGAGTAGAGTAAGTTAGGGTTAGGGTAAAGTAGAGTAAAGTAAGTTGAGTAGAGTAAAGTAGATGTTTAGATTGAGGAGAGTAGAGTAGAGTAGAGTATGAGTAGAGTAGAGTAAAGTAGAGTAGAAGTAGAGTAGATTGAGTAGAGTAGGAGTGGGGGAATAGGGAAGGGGTTAAGGTAATTTGAAAGGAGGGTGGGAAAGAGGGGAAGGGGGGAGTGAATAAGATAGGGGTATTTAGGGGGGAGTTAGGGTATGGGGGTGGGGGGAATTGGGAGGGGGGGTTGGAAAGGGGGGAATTGGGGTGGGAAAAGGGGGTATAGGGGTGGGGGGGGATATGGGGGGGGGGATTGTGTGGGTAATTAATGTAGTTAGGTTGGATTGGGAGTTGTAGAGGGGTTTATGGAGGTTGGTTAAAGGATGGGGAGGTATATTGGGGGGGGGGGTTTAGTTGATATATTGGTGGTTTGTTATTGGGATGTAGTGGGGTGGGGGGGTTGAATTGGGGTTGGAAAGGAGGAATGATATGAATGGGGGGGGGGGTGGGGTATAGAATGAGGGGGTATGGAAGAGAATAAGGGGGTATGGTTGAGGGTAGGATGGGTTAGGTATGGAATTGATTTATATAGGGGGAGAGGGGGGTGATGAATGGTAAGAGAGATTAGAGAAAGAGAGAGGGGTGAGAGATAGGAGAGATGGGTTTAAGAGAGAGAGAGTTAGAGAGATAGATGGGGAAGTGGGGGAATGTATATGGAGAGAATGGGGAGGGGGGGAAAATTTGTTTATAGGTGAAGGGGGGTTTTTTGATTGTTATTGTTTGGTGGGGGGATGGTGGAAGGAGGGGGGAAGAAGAGAGGGGGGGAAGAGGTGGGAGAGGGAGTAGAGAGGGGGGGGGAGAGAGAGGGGGGGGGGAGAGAAGGAAGGAGGGAAAATAGGGGGGGAGAGAGGGGATCGAGAGGGGTGATAGAGGGGAGAGAGAGAGAGAATGAGGGGGAGAAATAGGGAGAGAGAGAGAGAAAAGGGTGGAGAAATAGGAGAGAGAGGAGGAGAGAGAGAGAGGAGAGGGGGAGGAAAGGAGATGAAAGGGGGGGGGAAGGGTGTGTTGGGTGGGGAAAAGGGGGGGGGATTTTAGGGTGGTGAGGAGAGATGTGAGTGGTTATAGGGGGGGGATATGTGTGGGTTATAGAGGTAAGGGTAAGGGAGGGTAGGGGGGAGAGGAGAGAGGTGGGGTTGGATTGGATTTGTGTGGGGGGTTGTATAGGTTGGTGGGGATATTGAAGGGAGAGGGGGAAATGAATATAATGTTGTTTAGTTTTGTGTGGTGTGTGAGTGGATGGGGGGAATGTGGTGAGGGGGGGGGGGGTTGGAGGGTGTTGGGATAGTGTATGAGGGGGTGGGTTTTGTAAGGTGTGGGTTCTAGTAATTTGTTGGTATGATTGGGGTTTAATTGGTGTAATATTGGGTGTTATTGTGGGTAATGTGTGTTTGTGTGGTGGGGATTTGTTTGAATGTGGGGTGGGTGGTGTTGGTTTTGGTGGTGGGAATGGTTGTGTAAGGTGGGGTAGTTGTTTGTTTGTTAATGGTTGGGGTTAAATTGGTTTTGGGTTGGTTTTGGGAATGTTGGTGTGGGGTGGGTGTGGTGTGGATTTTGATGGGGGGGGGTGTGGGGAAGGGGGGAAGGGAAAGGGAGGGATGTAGGGGGGGGGGGGGATTGGGAGTTAGTGTGGGTGGGTAAGGAAGGGAATAGGATATAGGGGGGGGTTGATGATATGGAAGATTTGGGTATAGGTGGAAAGGATTGGAAGGAGTATTGAGATAGGAATAAGAATTGTTTGGGAATAATGGGTAAAATATATAGGTGGTGGGGGGGGTGGGGTTATGAGGTGTGGGTTGGGAGGGATGGGTAGAGGGAGTATGAGGATGTTAGGGTGGTGGGGGGGTTGGGGAATTTGGAATTTGGGATAGTTGTGTTGGGGGGTGGTGGTTTTGATTTAGGGGTTTTGGGTGGGGGGTGTTGTTTTTTGGTGGGGTGGGTTGATTGTGTTTTGGGGGGGGGGGGGGGGGTTTGGGTAGTGGATGTTGGGGGGGGTGTTGATTGTGTTTTGGTTAAGTGTGGTTTGGGTGGGGGAAGGGTGTGTGTATTGTGGGGAGATGGTGGTGTGGTTTGGTGTGTAATTTGTGTAATTGTGTGGGGTATGTGGGTGGTGTAAGATGGGTTTGGGGGGGGTTTAATTTGTTAGGGGGGATTTGTGTGGGGGTTTGGTTAAGTGGGTGTGGGGGATAGTGTGTTTATGATTGTGGGTGGGGGGGTATGGGGGAAGGGTAGGGGGTTGTAATGTGGTGGTTGTGGGGGGGTTTGGGGGGTTGGTGGGGGTGTATTTGGGGGTATTGAGGGTTGGGTGGGGTAGGGATAGGGATGGGTAGGGGGGGTGGAGGGTGTTGATGATTTATGGGGATATAGGGGTGGTGGGTGAAGAGTTTGGGGGGGGGGGGGGGGGGGGATAGGGGGGATAATGTAGGGGGGGGTAGGGGGGTGGTAGGATGGGGGGGGGGTAGTTTTGTTTGGGGGGGTGATTTGGGGTGGGATTAGGTTGGGGGGGATGTTTTTTTGGGAAGGGTTATATAGGGGGGGTATTGGGGGGGGGGAATTATGGGGGTGTAGGGGATTGGATGAGTTTATTAGGGGTGGTTAGGGGATGTGTTGAGGGTGGGGGGGGGGTTGGGGGGGTGGGGGGAGTGGGTGGTTGGGTGGAGTAGGGTGGTATTGATGGGGGGGGGGGGGGGGGGGGGTGTATGTGTTGGGTGGGGGGGGATGGGTGTGTAGGTGGGGTGTGGGTTGAGTGTGGGTGGATATTTGGGGGGGGGGTGTGGGGGGGGTGGGGGGGGGGGGGGGGGATGTGGTTGGGGGGGTGGGAGGGGGTGTATATGGGGGGGGGTGTGGGGGGTTGTAGGGTGTTTTTGAGTATTGGGGGGGGGGTGTTGGGGGGGATTGGGGGGGGTGGGGGGTGTGTGGTTTGAGGGGAGTGGGGTAGGGGGGGTTGATGGTGTATGGTGGGGGGTGGTTGTGGTGGGTAAAGTTTAAGTGTGGGGGTGTGGGGTAATGGGGTGTGGGGAGGGGGGGATGGAGGGGGGGTGTGTAGTTGGGGTTGTGAGGTATGGGAAATGGGATAGTGGGTATATGGGGGTAGTGAGGAGGGAAGGGTTGGGGTGGTGGTTTTGGGGGTAGGAATTGGGGTTGTTTGGATTGGGTGTATGTGTTGGAGGGTTGTGGTATGGGGTATTAGTATAGTTGTTGTTGGAGTTAGTGGGGGGGGGTGGGTTGGGGGGGGGGAGGGGTTGAGGTAATGGTGGAGTAAGTTGTT